GGGAACATTGACACATGTTACAGTGGGGAACATTGACACATATTACTGTGGGGAACATTGAACCATGTTAATTTAGGGAATATTGACACATGTTAATGTGGAGAACATTGACACGTGTTAATGTTGGGACAATTGACACGTTAATGTGGGGATCATGGACACATGTTACTGTTGGGAATATTGACACATGTTACTGCGGGGAACATTGACACACGTTACTCTATGGAACATTGACACATATTACTGTGGGGATCATGGACACATGTTAATGTGGGGATCATGGACACATGTTAATGTGGGGATCATGGACACATGTTAATGTGGGGATCCTGGACACATGTTACTGCGGGGATCATCGACACATGCTAATGTAGGGTATATTGAACCATGATAATGTAGGAAATATTGACACGTGTTACTGTTTGGAATATTGACAAATGTTACTGTTTGGAATATTGACAAATGTTACTGTGTGGAACATTGACACATACTACTGTGGGGAACATTGAACCATGTTAATGTAGGGAATATTGACACATGTTACTTTTTGGAATATTGACACATGGTACTGTGGGGAACATTGACACATGTTAATGTGGAGAACATTGACACATATTACTGTGGGGATCATGGACACATGTTAAGGTGGGGATCATGGACACATGTTAATGTGGGGATCATGGACACATGTTAATGTGGGGATCCTGGACACATGTTACTGCAGGGATCATTGACACATGCTAATGTAGGGAATATTGAACCATGTTAATGTAGGGAATATTGACACGTGTTACTGTTTGGAACATTGACACATATTACTGTGGGGATCATTGACACATTTTACTGTGGTGATCATGGACACATGTTAATGTGGGGATCATGGACACATGTTAATGTGGGGATCATGGACACATGTTACTGTGGGGATCATGGACACATGTTACTGTGGGGATCATGGACACATGTTAATGTGGGGATCATGGACACATGTTAATGTGGGGATCATGGACACATGTTACTGTGGGGATCATGGACACATGTTACTGTGGGGATCATGGACACATGTTAATGTGGGGATCATGGACACATGTTAATGTGGGGATCATGGACACATGTTACTGTGGGGATCATGGACACATGTTACTGTGGGGATCATGGACACATGTTACTGTGGGGATCATTGACAAATGTTAATGTGGGGATCATGGACACATGTTAATGTGGGGATCATGGACACATGTTAATGTGGGGATCCTGGACACATGTTACTGCAGGGATCATTGACACATGCTAATGTAGGGAATATTGAACCATGTTAATGTAGGGAATATTGACACGTGTTACTGTTTGGAACATTGACACATATTACTGTGGGGATCATTGACACATTTTACTGTGGTGATCATGGACACATGTTAATGTGGGGATCATGGACACATGTTAATGTGGGGATCATGGACACATGTTACTGTGGGGATCATGGACACATGTTACTGTGGGGATCATGGACACATGTTACTGTGGGGATCATGGACACATGTTAATGTGGGGATCATGGACACATGTTAATGTGGGGATCATGGACACATGTTACTGTGGGGATCATGGACACATGTTACTGTGGGGATCATGGACACATGTTACTGTGGGGATCATGGACACATGTTAATGTGGGGATCATGGACACATGTTAATGTGGGGATCATGGACACATGTTACTGTGGGGATCATGGACACATGTTACTGTGGGGATCATGGACACATGTTACTGTGGGGATCATTGACAAATGTTAATGTGGGGATCATGGACACATGTTAATGTGGGGATCATGGACACATGTTAATGTGGGGATCCTGGACACATGTTACTGCAGGGATCATTGACACATGCTAATGTAGGGAATATTGAACCATGTTAATGTAGGGAATATTGACACGTGTTACTGTTTGGAACATTGACACATATTACTGTGGGGATCATTGACACATTTTACTGTGGTGATCATGGACACATGTTAATGTGGGGATCATTGACACATGTTAATGTGGGGATCATGGACACATGTTACTGTGGGGATCATGGACACATGTTACTGTGGGGATGATGGACACATGTTACTGTCGGGATCATGGACACATGTTACTGTGGGGATCCTGGACACATGTTAATGTGGGGATCATGGACACATGTTAATGTGGGGTTCATGGACACATGTTACTGCGGGGATCATTGAAACATGTTACTGTGGGGATCATTGACACATGCTAATGTAGGGAATATTGAACCATGTTAATGTAGGGAATGTTGACACGTGTTACTGTTTGGAATATTGACACATGCTAATGTAGGGAATATTGACACGTGTTACTGTTTGGAACATTGACACATATTACTGTGGGGATCATTGACACATTTTACTGTGGTGATCATGGACACATGTTACTGTGGGGATCATGGACACATGTTAATGTGGGGATCATGGACACATGTTACTGTGGGGATCATTGACACATGCTAATGTAGGGAATATTGAACCATGCTAATGTAGGGAATATTGACACGTGTTACTGTTTGGAATATTGACACATGTTAATGTAGGGGATATTGACACATGTTACTGTGGGGATCATTGACACATGGTACTGCAGGGAACATTGACACATATTACTGTGGGGATCATTGACACATGTAAATGTGGAGACAATTGACACATGTTAATGTGGGGATCATGGACACATGTTAATGTAGGGAATATTGACACATGTTAATTTAGGGAATATTGACACATGTTAATGAGGAGACATTTGACACGTGTTAATGTGGAGACATTTGACACGTGTTATTGTGGAGACATTTGACACATGTTAATATCGGGATCATGGACACATATTACTGTTGGGAATATTGACACATGTTACTGTGGGGAACATTGACACATGTTTATGTGTGGACCATTGACACGTGTAAATTTGGGGAATACTGACACATGTTTACGTAGGGACAATTGACACATGTTAATGTTGTGTCCATTGGTACATGTTAATGTGAGGGACATTGACACGTGTTAATGTGGGGATCATTGTCTCGCATTAATGATGAGGAGATTGTTACAATTTAATGAAGTAACCATTAAAAAAATCACGTGTTGATGAAGAGGAAATTGTCACATGCTACTAAAGTGAATATTTCACGTGCTTATGAGGGAACAGTGTCACTTGCTTTTGAGGGGAATATTATTGTCACTTGTTAATTAAGAGAATATGGAATATTGTTAATGATGAACCTTGTCGCATGCATAAATAGAGAGTGGAACATTGAGCATGTACGTGAAGGAAACAGTATCGTATGCGCAGATAATATTGGTAATGTTTTCACACTTTTTTGTTTTACCGTCACGTGTCAGCGAAAAACCAACCTAACATTCTAATGAGCGGATCAGTACCACACACTTATGGGTGGAAACTTATCATAAATCAATGAGGAAAACACTGCCAAATACTATTTAAGTTAGAATTGTGTACGCGCTTATCAGCTGATTTTTGTCAACTTCTTATACATGAAATAACAGCATTGCCAAACACCACTGATGGGAGCAGTTGTCTACAGCTACCTAGGGGAGCAATGCTTACGCGTTGATTACGGTACTGAAGATTATTTTGATTTTATATTTTCTCTCTCTCTTTATGTTTTTAACGCACATAGCATCCCACTGAATATTTTCAAACAAAACTATGTCCATAAGTTACATAATATGTTATGTATATGTATACTGGTATGTGAGATATCTTCTTGTATCAATTACCGCTAAGGGAAAATAACTTCATTCCGGATATTATTTCCTTTTTCTTTTCTTTTTATTAATTTTATCTTATTCCGGATAAGTTATCCGGCACTGAAATTAAAGTTGATCATGAGAGAAGAAATAAAATGGAGACACAACACTATGTAACATACCACGTTATTACAAATGACAGGCACATGATTCTCGCCGTAAGGTGGCGAGTATGTCTAAAGGCAATCCCGATATGTGGTCATGTTTGGTGGTTATAATTATATACCTATGAATCATTCCCAGAGAATACCTACAGGCACCTTCCGTGTTGGTGCACAGGTCCGGGTCTGGGTCCGGTTTCCTTGTTTACAAATGCACCTTATCGGTATCTATCGTTTTCTTGAATTTTGCCGAGAAGAACTTTAATCTAGTGACCACATATGAGGTTTTTTTCCACATGTTTAGCTGACAAAGCTATATGGAAATATTTAAAAACAATAATCACAATGTCGTTGTCAATAACAGACTTTCACAGAGTATTGCACTGTACCCAAGTTTGACCTTGTCCCAGTTTCCTAACTCCTTGACAGGCATCTTTTGATTTAAATGAAATGATATACACCAAATAAAAAACAAATCAATATGATCTATGAAACGCAGAGCAAACGGGAAATAATGTAACTGTTTCTAGCGTTGACATGTTGGTTGTTTATCATCTTTAACAATATGGCTGTCCAACTGTTACTCCAAAGACGTAAACAATAATAAACGAGAAAAAAATATCTTCACTCCATCATAAATATATCCATTAGTAAATAAATAAATAAACATATGACAGTGAGACGTTAATATCTTTTAGAGTTATTACAAAGGTATATATACAGCTATGCATAGGATGTAGAAACGATGTCTTGTAATAATTTACCATAAAAGCTCATTCAGAAACGGTCGGTAACCGTATGCAGCATAAACTACTCCATTTACGACATCACAGGAAACAATGAGATGACGTCGTGAAAAGGTGAAAGTCAAAATTACTAAAATTTTGTTTTCAACGTTTGTGTCATTTTACGTTGTAAGGTTAAATCAGGGACGTATGTTAATCCGTTAATTATTCAGGCGAGGTTTCGTTTCATAAAATCACGTGCGGTAGGAACTTTATAATATCATAAATAGTGAACACCCATGGAAAATGTCAGCAGTTTTAACAAAGGTAACAACACTTACCGTGACAAGGTTGTGAGTAATCCTAGCCTAGCTACACAGATATTACAGATATATGTTATATCGTGTTGTCCTCCTGTAAACCACACTAAATTTACTGGGGTTTCCAAGACTTTCCGTGTCACCACTTGTTATACAGGGGTACCCGACAGGAGATTAACGTTCAAGTATATTGGATTCTATTTTAAAAGAAACTTCACTGACAAGTTAACAATTAAGAATAAGATTACACGTATATGGGACAGTCCTTTCCTCTTTTCTGTGTCATGTATTTTGATTGCAAAAAAATGATTGCAGAAGATCTAAGGTAAAAAAAAATCTGGGTCATATACTCATTTAGCGACATATTACTAATCATATATTCATATGTGCCATTCCACTGGGATTAACTATGAATAAAGATGTATTTGGACGTGTAAAGCTTGAATCCCATGATTTTTTCATAGTTTGTCTGACACAATTACATAATATTTCAAATAATGTTTTCTTAAATGGACAAAAATATAATAAATCAGTTGTAAAATGTATTGATACCCCTATGGGCGCCTCTTTGTTTACGACCGGAACTTACCTTGCGGTGAACTGTCCAATAATATAACGGTGATTGACAGGTGATCGATCAAGACTGATCAGGTAGCCATATTGGTACCACGAAACTTGCTGAAGCTACTACCTGTAAAAGGTAGTAAGTATTCCTGATATAAGGAAACGTGGTATACTTCTGTACGTCTAAGCGAAACCTAGACTGGAAAGTCTAGGTCCACAGTTCCCACTGGTGTTTCACCACAGAATGTATATATAAGTGAACGTCAAAAAACATTGTATTATGACGTTCTCCTATATATAATATCTTTTTCTCCCACACCTGACAGATTTATCTCCCGTTTTGCCGGTGCTAGATTTATCTGTCTCCGCCCTAGGGTTGAGACGGGGGGATTCCCCTATTCATAACAATGGCATGACGTCACTTCAACAATACAATGACGTCACGTCAACAATCCATCAACAAATTGCCTGTATGTGTTTTGGGTCCATGTTTACCTTTATTTCACATTAAAATACTGTTAGATATGGGAGAAAAATAATCAATCGCTACTGGTTGTGTAAGATAGAGAAATCTCAACCCTCGGACTAAGATTTTTTGTCCAGAACTCGGCAAGCCTCGTTCTGGACAAAAAATCTTAGTCCGAGGGTTGAGATTTCTCTATCTTACACAACCAGTAGCGATAGATTCTATTAATATACCATCTGACATGTTTATATATTACGTTGTCCTTTTAAAAATGGAGCCGGTGACCAAATCACTATAAATAATGGACTCGGAATGTTTATGGTCACTGGTTCGATCCGTTGCGTGGCACAATTTCCGTGCATGTACAATTCAAAGCCCAAGTTGGAAATATTCCAGGTAATTGGCAAACTCAAATCCATTATTTCATTTATTTTTTGTCCTTAATTACAGGCAATTTATAATTATGTATGAAAGTTAAAACCTGAGCTTTTCAGTTCATTCCAGTATAACTATTTTCTCTTTACTACATTGTACAGACAATAATTTTAGATGAATTGCTGTGATATTTTGTATACTTTGATTGTGTAATGAAGAATGGCATACATGAACATTTGATTGCTAATTAATAATAATTGGAGGTTCCTATAAACCGCTTTCTTTAGGCGATCGTGTTAATCACTCTTCAAGCAAAGGTTACAAATTTCAAGATTTTAAAAATATGTTGAGAAGAAAAAACAACCTTTCTCAACTGACAGCTGTGTGCAAGATTACACCTGAGATATCTTTAAAGTCTTTTCTATTTTTTCTAGAAGACATGTACAGCTTTAACCCATTCACCCCTAAAGTCACATTTGAACTTTACCAAATCAAAGACTGGGCAAGTCCAGTTTAAAACTGTAGGTGTGAATGAGTAAAGGATACTAATGTTAAACTTGAAACTTGTCAGTTGTGGCTCGAACCCGCAACCCTTCGGTCACGAGCCCGGCGTCCTACCACGAGAATACTGGCCTCCTACATCGTATGTACATTGAAATACTTTGCATTTTACTTGAATAAAATATCATTGCATAACACCACAGGGACATGTCACATGCTACATATTAAATAAAGGTAGATATATATATAGGCGAACGTCACAATATATGTAATTTTATGTTACATTACATAGCGTGTCACACGTCCCTGTGCGCTAACTATCCTTTATACAAAATGGTGCCGTCGACCAGTCACTATATCAGCAGTGGTTCGGTTCACTGCGTAGACACACAAAATTACATGGCACCATCCTAATACAAACTTGTGCCGCTGACGAATCCAAATAAATAAATAAACAATTTTAAAACAATTATTCAACAGGTTTTTCCAACTACTATATTAATTACTGTTGTCGACTCAGGTGGAATTGCACAGGTAGGAACTGAGTGCCATGAGAAAACCTTCGTTTCGGGCAGGTGATCCAATACCGTTTCACGTTTGAGCGGTATTGGATCACCTGCCCAAGCGATTTGTGAATCACAGGAGACCAGCCTTGTTTTACCAATTAGGTGTCCGTGAACCTCCTCACACAAATTAACCTTCGGAAAAAATGCCGACCCCAATATACCATCATTGGGTATGGAATATTTTACCGAAAGTTGATCTAAAAACATACAACGTGTAAAATTAGTCTTAACACCTTAGTTTAGGTCCAAACATAGCTGTAACAAATTATCAAGTAAATGTGGACGTTACTTGGATTCCTTCCTGTATGCCTTAGATAAGCAAAAAATGGGCTTGTCGTGGAATTATGAATTTAGAAATATGAAATAATATCTGGAATTACTAATCAGAATGATCAGTCCCAAGATATTACATAGTAGAATCGGCAACTTGAAGCGAATTAAAAGGCAGAAGTGGTGATCTGTAAGGGTTATCTCCCTTCAATGAAAGTATTACTTTTCATGGTACTAATACATGGATGACTTTATAAAATGCTTCACAAGTTTTTAAATTCTCATTTTAACAAGAATTTAAATTAATTGTTTCAACTTGAAAATATTTACGTTAAATATTTTGATACTCTGGTGTTAATTCTTTATTAAGGGAAAAACGTTCCGAGATCTAAATTTGAACGGTATTCATCCTAACAGGTATAAACCCCCTCGTGAATTTTAACTGGGAAGGTATTCGTCAATAATAGCGTTAAATACACAGTTTTAAACGAAAATTATCTTGTTTTTATTGTACAAAAACATACATTGAACTATATATCACAAAATTTCTTCATTAGAAAACATTCACGTAAAAAATAAAAATATACATTGTAAGTATAAATCTAAGTTTTATCTCATTAATCAACACTGATCACAATGGTTAGATGACGTTGTGACTGAGAAATCAAGAATACAAAAATATATATTACACTTCACTTTCTGAATTGGGTCTCAGCTACACATTGAGTTCATCTCCGCTCATACAATGCAAATTAAAATCGCTTCTGTTGGATCTCAAACAAACTCCGAACCATTTAAATGTCGCCAACACAGTTTCTACCATTGTCCTGTATTCCAACTCACACATACTGTTAGAAAGTTTTTATCTCCCGCATGGTGCAAATTTTCACAGTCTGTGTACTTCCAATAAAATAGGATCAAGTGAACATATCTGTTTTCATAAAATTTTGACTTAACAATTTTCATAATCAGTCCCTGAAACTGTTTAGTTCTCAATAAGACATGATTCAATTACTTATAATCTGCATATCCAAATATTTTCCACCACCAATATTACAATATATTCGGTCTGAAAAATAATCTTAATCCGAGCATGGCTGCTGCACAGACGACCAAAATGAAGGTGGTACTCGGGAAATTCCGGGATTGTCCGTTGCAGAACGTGGTGGAGCACGTGCAGTCCCCGTAACCCAGTTTGTTCACGCAGGTATCGGATGCTGATGTGAGACAGGTTCGTTCGATACTATAAAATGCTGTAAAACGAAAAATGCGAATAAAGTAAATATGATATTCAGCGAACAGAATATTAATAATTGTAACAATTTTTATTTTATTGTCATATTTGATTTAGAAATTATCTCCATAGCAACACATTTTGCTTCACGACGTATTTGATTTTAAAATCGTAAATACTCTGATAAGGGGAAAATGTGTCACAGTTTTTTAAAGTTTATACCATTTAAAACGTAACATGTTTAGGCCCACAAATTGTTCTATCGGAATATTACACAATATTAAACATTAATGAATGTCGGAATATTTTATTTTTATTTCACTGTCTATGGTCCTTATTAAAACGTATTAACCTAACTTCTGCGATCTGTAACTAACATTTACATACTTCCGGTTTTCATAAAAGCTACTTGGTAACATATATTCAGAAAGACTTCTTCAAAGTAGAGTCAAAATTAAAAGACAATATTTCATCTCGCCAGAGAGGTAAACTTCTATGGGTTAGATTTATGTGTATTCCAAAATGATTAACGGGTACAAGATGACCAATCGGGAACCGTCGAGTATTTTCTCGTTTACGGAAAGTGCCGACAGTTCCCGATTGCAAGATGATATTAGTTTGAGTTCCTTCCCTTGATTACCTCCTTTAGTTCGAGTTACAGTGAATATATAGCGTTAGCGATTACAACAGAGCATTAGTACAATATTCTATTCATCTTACATGTGCCCAGTGATAGGAATGTCTTCCCACATCCCGCACATCCTGAACCTGTCTTCAGGTTGCCTTGAAGTGTCGTTTCGTCTATGACCTCCCCACATCCGGCGTCGCCACTGGAACATACCCAACAGTCTATCGCCACGCCTAAAACATATACAATATTGTGTTGCTTTGTCAAATGTGTTTATAGCATATAAGTATATCTGATAACATTTTAAAGCATTTTGGTACTCTAAGATGCATAAATACGATGACCGCAAAAGCGTAGCCCTTAGTTGAAAAGTAGGTCACGGTGACCTTGTTGCGCATGTGCGTCGGCTTTATGGTGTCAACAATGCACTCAATACTGTGCTTCAATACACATTAGAACCACAAAACAATTTGCCAAAAATATATTTAGAAACGTCTTAATCTAATCTCAAGAAATCTCCAGAAAATGTTGGAGTTGGGTATTAAGTGAGTGAGAGAGGGCGAGGTTATTACTTTCTTCGTACGTATGTTTTCCTCATTTCTATTTGTAAGTGCTTTTGGCGAAAAAAATATTATTTTGACATGCATCTGATTTTAAGATTTATTAGTCCACAATGAAAACAATTACATCTGAAAAGTTACTTTTTGAAATATGTATGTACACCATCAGTTTACAAAGCTACCTTACTGTAATAAAGACCCGAGCTTTGTCTGCCAGTGCTTTGATCAAGTAAAGAATGGTTTACAGTATAAAAGTAAATGATGTATTATATCTATCTGCTGTATTGATGGATGTTGTGGCTAACATAAATAGATGCATTACACCTCCCTGTCGTACACCTACCCATTGATCTATTCCGTCTTTTCGTATTGCACAGTTATCTGCTCTTGTGAGCAGGGATTGATTGTTACGTCATTGGTTTGTGTGAGAAAATTACTTCGTTTTCTCAAAAATTGATTACGTTACTCTCACAAACAAATGACGTAACAATCAATACCTGCTCACAAGAGAAGATAACTCTGTAATACGCAAATACGGAATATGAGGAGGTCCTAATACTTTTGAATATACCTTGAGTATATCAAACAAAACTGTTCCAAAAACACAAAAACCATAAACCTCAAGATTTCTTTTTTTTTCAGAACCGGTGAGATGTCAAAACAGTTCAGACGCGAAGCTGCCTATACATTGGTACGCGATTGAATCCACCAAATTTACAAACAGAAAAACAAAGTAAAACTGCTTGTTGAACACTAGACTGGCTACTAGTTTCTTATGAAGAATTTCTCGACTGCATTTTACTACAAGCTTATCTCCCCCTAGTTTAAAACTAAGGGTCTGGTCAAATCTGGAAAAGCACTCCCCGGAATAGTGGTGAGTGCAAAAAGGTCAAGCTCATTTGATTCGGCCGTTAAGATGTGGCTGGGATAAATAAAATGTCATGATTACTTTTTAGATCAGTTATTATACCCAGTAGTTTATACCCCGTAGTTAGCATGAAAATGAAAATGTACAATAGCATGGAAAACACACGCATATTAAGCATAACGTCATTACTTATATTTTACTTAGATATTTGAATATGACCTTTTTAGGAATTACATGTATTTTGTTAACATCAACATCATGTCATAACAAACATGAAACATGACAAGATAGACCAACCTAAACGTATCATGTCAATTCGAAAGTACTTCAGTGTAATGTGAATTTAGTTTAATATTGTTTTTAGCTAATATTTTCAGTGGAAAAACAGACAATTCAAAGATGGGAATGTTGGAGAAATCAGATCCTTAATAAGAAGATAAATCCCTGTCATGGCGCGTGCAGCCACAGCGACAGAGGCTACACGGATTGCCATTATACGGGAAATGTGTATGCACAACTGTGAACAAATACTTGTTAGTCCGAAAACAAACCCAACTTAAGAATACAGTTGAAAATGTGGGTGGTGATGTTTGTCAGAACTTTCAATGGCTTCTGGATCTTTTATCGAAAAAAAAAGGAAATTCTTGTCCACGAATAAGTGTGTTCTTCCGTCAAATCAAACATCTTGCAGAGGTGTTGGAGTTCCTTAAAATCAATTTACTTGAAAAACAATATGCAGATCGAAAATCAAGTAACCAACAACTATAGGAACAGAACCTTTGCAATGTTTCCCTTGACAATCTGTGACAAAATAAAGGCAGAAGTGTGTTCATCATTCAAAGATGCAGATGGACTCTTTCAGCATGGGGCTTGTTGTAAAAAGTGCCAATACTGTTAGACATTATGGTCCTTCAAATGACACAGACGACTACCTACAGGAGTCCGGCTGAGCCGGAAGGGACCCCAACGTAGACTGCAATGATGTCTTGATGAAGTACAGATATAGCACGAGAGAAAAAAACTATTATAATCATACATTTACGATTCCAATGAAAGTAAACCATGTCGATCCATCTGTATCAGATATAAGTATACCTCATATAGTCCTGTAACAGCGTGTCTGGTTAGATTATATTCATCACGTGACGGGAAAATAATAATCATGTTTTGACTCACGAGTTTCCCGGTCATTCTAGAAGTAAGAGCTACCACACCAGGGTTCCGAGTGGCTGTCAAAGCAGACGGTAACAATGGATCGGAAGCCAGATGATATTTGTTGTAGTGGTATTACTCTATTGTAGTATAATGAAATATTAATGGCCCCTGCAGCATGGAAGCACATGTTTTTGTTTTCCTTCGATTTTTCATATTTCACTGAGGCTTATGGTAGGGCAACACGTTCCTTTCTATTCCTTAGAGTAATCAAAGGCGAATCTTGTTTCCATTCCCCAAGAGCAATCAATTCATAGTATACACCACATGTGTGTTTGACTCGTTTGTGCTTTACATCCTATTTACAGCTATGGTAAATCAAGGTCGAGACACGTAGAGGAAAACCAGAGTACCCGGAGAAAAATCCCCGACCTGCGAGAAGTATATGTAACTGGCAACTCCCCAACAAATGTGTCGAACCCATGACCCAGAGTTGGAAGACTAGTGATCATAGACTTCTTAACCATTTAGCAATTGTTGCCCCGTCTCCGTCATAAATATAAACTTTATTTATTTTACAACAATTATGAAACACGTTAAATAACTTATATTAATCACTATTGTTGGCCAGGATGTTAGCGCGCCTTGTGGGTCTTGATGTGGGAGGAAACAGGAGTACTCGGAGAAAACGCACATGGTCGGGGTCAGGTGACCTCATACCTTTTCACGTCCGATCGGGGAATCGAACCCCGGCCGCTTTGGAGAAAGGCAAGTGCGTTATCCACTGCGCCACCTGATCATCCATCTCCGTCATATATATATTCTCCTATTGTGACAGTTTGGTTTGGTTTTATTTTGTTTAACGTCCTATTAACAGCTAAGGTCATTTAAGGACGGCCTCCCCTGTGTGCAAGATGCATGCGTGTTGTGTATGTGTGTGTGTTTTGGGAGGCTGCGATATGTTCGTGTTTGTCTCCTTGTGATAGCGCGGAACTGATGCCGACTTTATAGTGCTACCTCACTGAAACATACTGCCGAAGACACCCAGCAGGACGCCCCACCCGGTCACATTATACTGACAACGGGCGAACCAGTCGTCCCACTCCTAATTTGCTGAGCGTTAAGCAGGAGTAGAAACTACCATTTTTAAAGACTTTGGTATGTCTCGGCCAGGGGACAGAACCCAAAGCCTTCCTCACAGGGGCGAACGCTCAACAAATGGCCAAAAGTGAGGCATTGTCAAGGGAGACATTAGGAAGAAGAAAGTTATTTAGAAAGGAGAGAAGAGATAAGGTCCCAAATTTAGTCGCCTCTTACGATCATGCAATTGGGGGCAGCAAGTACAATTCTTACGCCCTACCTGCAGGGTCTTATTGTGACAGTCGTTTCGCCCCATATATATCCTTTGATACGGTGCGTATGCAATGGTACCACGTCAATTTCGTCCTTTCATTATACTTATTGACGTCTTTTATGACTAACGCGTTTCACCACATCTGTACCCTTAAATCTGTATAATCCCTGCAGGAAGGGCGTAAGAATTGTACCTGCTGCTCACATTGCATGATCGTAAGAGGCGACTAAATTTGGGATCGTATCTTTTCTCTTTTTTTCTAAACCACTTTCTTCTTACTAATGTCTCCCTTGACAATGCCTCACTTTTGGCCTTTAGTTGAGCGTTCGCCCCTGTGAAGAAGGCTTTGGGTTTTGTCCCCTGGTCGAGACATACCAGAGTCTGTACAAATGGTAGTTTCTACTTCTGCTAAACGCTCAGTAATTTAGGAGTGGGACGACTGGTTCGCCCGTTGTTAGTATAGTGTGACCTGCTGGGTGTTTTCGGCAGTAAGTTTAGTGAGGTAGCACTATAAATTCGGTATCTGTTCCGTCCTATCATAAGGAGACAAACACGAACATATCGCAGCCTCCCAAAACACACACGCATACACTACACGCATGCATCTTTCACACAGGGGAGGCCGTCCTTAAATGACCATAGCTGTTGATAGGACGTTAAACAATACTTAACCGAATCAAACCAAACCAAACCAAACTAATATATAGGTCTCTAAGGACGCTGAGTCATTTCGTCCCAACTGTATCCTATGATATTTGTATATAAATCATGAAATATAGTCATTTCGTCTTACATCATAATTTGTGTTCGTTTCTAATGACTCAGTCTCTTCGCCCCAACTACACCATATGATAAACATACGAACCGGTTACACTAGGTCATTTCGCCCCATGTGTATCAAATTGTTAACACTGAACCGTCTCCTCCCATTGGTATCGGACAGTCGAAATATATAGTAAATATTTTATTATAGAGTTACAATTCAACTGATGTACCAACATGTTCGTTTTTCAATTAAAACAGCAGTTATGACAGAAAAAAATGATATACGAGTGTACAATCAATGTCTTACCTGTACGTATTGTAATACAAGTCCAGGTGAGAAAAATGGCCAACGAATATTGATACAAATCCATGGTAATGTCTCTAGATACACCAAACTTCGTACGTATTTGTCCCGGAAACCTAATGTAATATCAGTTTAAATGATGATCTGTCTATCTGGAAGACAAATCATATTATTTCCATGGTCAAAAATCATTCAAACACTGCCAGCCGTCGCGTTGTCGCTGTTTACCATTAATAGATCAATATGGCCCACACCTGGAATTCCGTACCTACATCCCAGTACTGGTGTACCGTGCCAGGATTTACAATCACCACCAGGTAGAAATCGTTAAAAAGTGCACAGCTAATACATCGATAATACCCGTTTGTGATTTTATTATGACGAGGGTAGACATTACAATTCAATAAGATTAATGGTCCAAGTTTGGATTTTGTACCTAACCGGGTGAATACACTCGTATTTACGAACTCAGTAAAAATCAATTGCTAAGCTGCTTTGTGTTATGACCATCGACAAGGTATTGTATACTCGCTCTCACCGATCGGGGCTATTGTGTACGGTATTTATAATCCAGCTTTAATCTCGTATTAAAATGACTGGTTATTTACCAATAGAAGGAGAGATTTTGAAATAATTTATAGCCTCGTGACGTTGTATTCAGATGAATGAGTATTAATTACAGTTCAGAAATGTTCAATATATGATAAAATATTTTAATTTCCTCTTGCTTTTCAGGAGGTTAAGGGTCCCTGTCCCGTTGCAGGAAAAAACATTAGAGAATTCCACTGTAGTCGTTAATGCATACAGTTACCTCCCCTTTATTTACTTTTCGCAAACTGTAGTCGAGCTGGTGTTCGAATCCCGATCTCGCCCAGTTGCATTTTTAGTCTCATACCACTTTCGCTGATATCTTTCTTGTTTATTTTATTTTAATTATTTTGTTTTCTTAAAAGTTCCTCGAAGTATATGGGTGTTTTTCAGAAATGGTTTAGCAAAGCTATTGTTATGCAGGTAAAAACATTAATTCATGGTTACAATTTTTAGCAATCCTTAAAATTATTATGATTACGTTTTTCTTCATTTTATGCGATAGAGATATTTATACATTAAAATTACAGGAGTTGGTGGGTGGCGCAGCTGATAGTGCACTGACTTTTCACCGAGACGGTTGGGGTTCGATTCCCCGATCGGACGAGAAAATGGGATAAAGCAACCTTTCCTACCCAGCGGATTATTTCAGAACTACTATGATACAAAGGAAACACTTTATATGATTAAATCTTTAACAAAATATATGTATTATTCTGACTGAAGTCGAAATGCGTGTATTTCTCTTTTGGTAGTTTCGTTCAACCAGACGCTTGATCACTTGTAATTCAAGAGTCTCACTGTTCAGCGTAGCTTGCGCAGACAACAAGAGTCTGGTTGAACGAGACTATCACCGGAGTCAACATGCGAGTATTACTTTGATGGAAGTCGAAATGCATGTTATACTCCGACTGAAGTCGAAATGCATGTTATACTCCGACTGAAGTCGAAATGTCTGTAATACTCCGACTGAAGTCGAAATGCGTGTAAAACTCCGACTGAAGTCGAAATGCGTGTAATACTCCGACTGAAGTCGAAATGCATGTAATACTCCGACTGAAGTCGAAATGCGTGTAATACTCCAACTGAAGTCGAAATGCGTATAATACTCCGACTAAAGTCGAAATGCGTCTTATACTCCAACTGAAGTCGAAAAGCGTGTTATACTCTAACTGAAGTCGAAATGCATGTAATACTCCAACTAAGTCGTAATGCATGTTATACTCCAACTAAGTCGTAATGCATGTTATACTCCAACTAAGTCGTAATGCATGGTATACTCCAACTAAGTCGTAATGCATGTTATACTCCGACTAAGTCGTAATGCTTGTAATACTCCAACTAAGTCGAAATGCATGTAATACTCCAACTAAGTCGTAATGCATGTTATACTCCAACTAAGTCGTAATGCATGTTATACTCTAACTAAGTCGTAATGCATGTAATACACCGACTGAAGTCGAAATGCATGCAATACTCCAACTAAGTCGTAATGCATGGTATACTCCAACTAAGTCGTAATGCATGTTATACTCCAACTAAGTCGTAATGCATGTTATACTCCAACTAAGACGTAATGCATGTTATAATCCAACTAAGTCGAAATGCATGTTATACTCCGACTACGTCGTAATGCATGTTATACTCTGACTAAGTCGTAATGCATGTAATACTCCGACTGAAGTTGAAATGCATGTAATACTCCAACTAAGTCGTAATGCATGTTATACTCTGAATAAGTCGTAATGCTTGTTATACTCCAACTAAGTCGTAATGCATGGTATACTCCAACTAAGTCTTAATGCATGTAATACTCCGACTGAAGTTGAAATGCATGTAATTCTCCAACTAAGTCGTAATGCATGTTATACTCCAACTAAGTCGTAATGCATGTAATACTCCGACTGAAGTTGAAATGCATGTAATACTCCAAATAAGTCGTAATGCATGTTATACTCCAACTAAGTCGTAACGATGGTATACTCCAACTAAGTCGTAATGCATGTTAGACTCCAACTAAGTCGTAATGCAGGTTATACTCCAACTAAGTCGTATTGCTTGTTATACTCCAATTAAGTCGTAATGCATGTTATACCCCAACTAAGTCGTAATGCATGTTACTAAGTCGTAATGCATGTAATACTCCAACTAAATCGTAATGCATGTTATACTCCCCCTAACTAGTAATGCATGTTATACTCTGAGTAAGTCGTAATGCATGTAATACACCGACTGAAGTCGAAATGCATGCAATACTCCAACTAAGTCGTAATGAATTTAATACTCCAACTAAGTCGTAATGAATGTTATACTCCAACTAAGTCAAAATGCATGTAATACTCAGACTGAAGTTGAAATGCATGTAATACTCCAACTAAGTCGTAATTCATGTTATACTCCAACTAAGACGTAATGCATTTAATACTCCAACTAAGTCGTAATGGATGTTATACTCCAGCTCAGACGAAATGCTTGTAATACTCCAAATAAGTCGTAATGCATGTTAGACTCCAACTAAGTCGTAACGATGGTATACTCCACCTAAGTCCTAATGCATGTTATACTCCAACTACGTCGTAATTCGTGCAATACTCCGACTGAAGTCGAAATGCATGTAATACTCAGACTGAAGTTGAAATGCATGTAATACTCGAAATAAGTCGTAATGCATGTTATCCTCCAACTAAGTCGTAACGATAGGATACTCCAACTAATTCGTAATGCATGTTATACTCCGACTAAGTCGTAATGCTTGTAATACTCCAACTAAGTCGTAATTCATGTTATACTCCAACTAAGACGTAATGCATTTAATACTCCAACTAAGTCGTAATGAATGTTATACTCCAACTAAGTCAAAATGCATGTAATACTCAGACTGCAGTCGAAATGCGTGTAATACTCCGACTGAAGTCGAAATGCATGCAATACTCCAACTAAGTCGTAATTCGTGCAATTCTCCGACTGAAGTCGAAATGCATGCAATACTCCAACTAAGTCGTAATTCATGTTATACTCCAACTAAGTCGTATGCATGTTATACTCCAACTACGTCGTAATTCGTGCAATACTCCGACTGAAGTCGAAATGCATGCAATACTCCAACTAAGTCGTAATTCGTGCAATTCTCCGACTGAAGTCGAAATGCGTGTAATACTCCAACTGAAGTCGAAATGCATTTTATACTCCAACCAAGTCGTAATTCGTGCAATACTCCGACTGAAGTCGAAATCGATGTTATACTCCAACTAAGTCCTAATGCACGGTATACTCCAACTAAGTCGTAATGGATGTTATACTCCAGCTCAGACGAAATGCTTGTAATACTCCAAATAAGTCGTAAAGCATGTTATACTCCAACTTAGTCGTAACGATGGTATACTCCAACTAAGGCGTAATGCATGGTATACTCCAACTAAGTCGTAAAGCATGTAATACCCCGACTGAAGTCGTAATGCATGTTATACTAAATCTAAGTCGTAATGCATGTTATCCTCCAACTAAGTCGTAATGCAGGTTATACTCCAACTAAGTCGTACTGCTTGTTATACTCCAATTAAGTCGTACCGATGGTATACTCCAACTAAGTCGTAAAGCATGTAATACCCCGACTGAAGTCGTAATGCATGTTATACTTGCATGTTATACTCCAACTAAGTTCTAATTCGTGCAATACTCCGACTAAAGTCGAAATGCATGTTATACTCAAGTCGAAATGCATGTTATACTCAAGTCGAAATGCATGTTATACTCCAACTAAGTCGTAATGCATGTTATACTCCAACTAAGTCGTAATTCGTGCAATACTCCGACTGAAGTCGAAATGCATGTTATACTCCAACTAAGTCGTAATGCATGTTATACTCCAACTAAGTCGAAATGCATGTAATACTCAGACTGCAGTCGAAATGCGTGTAATACTCCGACTGAAGTCGAAATGTGTGTTATACTCTGACTGAAGTCGAAATGCGTGTAATACTCCAACTGAAGTCGAAATGCGTGTTATTCTCCGACTGAAGTCGAAATGCGTAGCATGTTGCGCCCGGTTATAAAATACTGACAGTGGGCAAACCAGTTGTTGGCATTTCCTTATGGCTGATCGTTATAAACAGGGAATAACAACTACACACACGGTAGTAAGAAAGAAGTAGCGAGCAACAAAGATTCCAAATAATACATTGGGGGCAGCAGATTCATTTTGCTCGATTTTGTGTCCCTAAGTAGAGGGCACAAGCGCAAATCCCTAAATCTGCAACTAGGGGGGTTTACACACTATTCGCCTCTTTAAGGTTTAAACATATTTATTGCCAAAATTAGACAAGGGATTAGGCACAAGTTATAACAACTTATCAACGCCTTCTCCCAATATACATTTGACATGACATTACAATAATGACAATAAATATATACAATTGTTATTACAATTTGAACACAAAATCTCTTGCTGGATTTAATAAAGTTTTGCACAGATCTAAAATGTTTGAGTTCAGGTCCACGGAAAATTGTGAATTGCCAAACAAAAGAATTTCTAAATTTAACGCAACGTTCAAATTAATCAAATTTTGAACCAAAATACGTCTTTCGTTTGTAAAAAGTTGACATTCCATAAAATAGTGAAAGACATTCTCACAAGGATGACCACAATTACAAGATGCACTCTCAACAAGGTTAACTCTAAAAAGGTCATAATTAAGGGAACTGCACTGGTGTCGGAGTTTAGTATGCAAGATATTAAG